AGGAGGGAGGAAAAGAAGGGGGAATGAGTGAGGACAGAAGGATTGAAAAGAAAAAAGTAGTAAGATTTCACATTTGGAAAGAAAAAGCTAGGAAACAGCAGGACAGCACCGCTGTTAGGTCTCTCTTGACCTCTTTTCTTGGTGTGGCCTACACTGACTGGTGGCAGTTGCACCTCATATGGGTTCTGAGTCTGAAAACTGAGCCCTGTTTAGCACAGAAAGCGTCTCCTCTTCCTATGGCTCAGGACTCCACTAAACAGATGGGGTCATTGGAGCATCTAGCTGTGATCTGAGTGAAACTCATCTGGATACAGACCCTTGTGTGTCTCCCCCCACTGCCAGGGACTTGGGTTTATCTCCTCCTCTCTTCCATTCTCTTGAGATGTGTAGCTCTGAAGTATGCGACATTTGTTTGCAAACCCTCTTCTAGAAATGGAGAACCTGAGACCTCCAAAGGGGAAAATCATATTCCCAAGACCCCATAGACATTTAGGACAAGGGGCAGGATGATTCTCAATCCCTGGCCAACCTTCCATTGTCTGGGCAAGTGTTTTGAAAGCGAGTTCTGGAGGGATCCTGATAACATTCCTGATGATGCTACCAGCAAGTTCTGTGATGATTCATGACATCAACAGAGGAACGGGATAAAGCAGGAAAAATGAACAATAATAGGATTTTATCTAATATATAATAATAACATCCATGATAGGGACATTAACTATTTCTGCAATGTTCTTCCCAGGAGAGGTGGTGTCTAGAGGGTAGCGGGGAGTCTGTTGGCACTCTATCCAAGGTTCCATGTTCCCTAGGCTTTTGAAATATTATCTTTGAGCTAGTAGCCTCAACTTTTCACAGAAACATGGGAGCCGGGAGATTGAGAAACCACTCAGCAAAGGAGCTCTAACATCAAAAGCATCTTAACTATGTCACTGAGTGTATGTCTTTAGGGAAGAGCAGGTGTCCTCAAGTAGGCTAGGGACTTAACTTTTAGCATGGCACTGTGGGAACTGGAGAATAAGGACAAAACTTTGGAATTTAGTAACAGGCATGTAGCTTTGGGTAGAAGGAGTGAAAATGTGTTTCCCATGTATTTTTCAGCCTACCTGGGCAGAGATCTAGTACAGAGGATTACAGCTTCCATAATCTAATTCCCACAATTTCTACATATCTAAGAGAGAAGGAGGAAAGGAAGGAAGGAAGGAAGGAAGGAAGGAAGGAAGGAAGGAAGGAAGGAAGGAAGGAAGGAAGGAAGGAAGGAAGAGAGAGAGAGACAGGAATGAAGGGAGGAAGGCAGGACAGGAGAAGAGGAAGAAGAAGAAGGAAGGAACAATCATAAAAGATATAAAGATATAGAAATCTGGAGATAAGTTTACAGATATGGTATTGTACAGCAGACTAGCTCCTGCCACAAATAAATCCTCAATAAAACAGGACTACTAGTGCCATCCAGACAGTGATGGCAGCCCTGAGAATCAGTAGCTTAGTTTGGACTTTCTTTACCTACCTTCATGTATGAATCTTAAAACCTACTGAGTCCAGCCTTTCCCTACACAGAGAGAACATGCAGGCCAGAGAAGGAGGAGGAACTAGCCTGAAATAGTACAGAGAGCCAAGAGAACTGACATCTGACTTTTGACCTTAGGGTCTGGGGTTTTGTGTGTATGAGATGCCCTCCCCTCTCCGTAGTCTTGGATTTTTTTCTTGTTTTCCTTTTTGTTTGTTTGATTTTTCTTCTTCTACTCTGCCAGCCTCCTATGAAGGACTCTTTCCTCTGAAACTGTTCCCACCATGGAAGCTGGCACCGGGAGGCGGTACTCTGGCTCCTTTGACATTCCTTTCATAACACTGGAGACAGAGAGGTGAGGGTGGGCCTGAGAGGCAAGCCTCTGGGTGTGTGGGAATGAGTCCCCCACCCCAGGAATCAGGTCTGGCTGCTGTTGGCATGCTCACTGGTGACCCTTTGGCAGCCATCCATGAGTAGCGAAAGCCAAGGCAGCCAAGACAAGACAGAGGCTAATTACCTTGGGCAATAGGAAATTGGAGAACAACTTACAAGAAGGATGGCTAGGCCTTTAGCCAGGCAGAAACAGGGACCCCAGATGCCCAGCTTGGCCTCAGACACTGGTCCAGAGGAGAGATTTTCACTTGGGATCACCCTCGGACTCCAGCATCCCAAGGGAACTGAAGCTGGCCTCTCTGTTAGACCTTCTGGAGACCCTCTCCCTCTGCTGCTCTTGTTTGTTTTCATTCAAAGCAAAACAAATGAAACAAACAAGGAAATTCAATTTAAATAGAGCACGGGTGCTAATGTTTCTGTTTTGTTACACAAGGGTGAACTTAGGACAGAAAATCAGCCTTGACTCCTGAGGCACTGTGTGAAATTACATGGCTAGAAAAGCTGCAAGAACAATTTTCCCTCCTAGGTAGAATGAAGAGAGAGAATGGAAATGGGGGTAGGGGAGAGAGACATTGGGGAAACAGAGAAGTACAGAGAGAGAGAAAGACACAGAAACAGAAAGACACAGAAAAAGATGTGGAGTGATAGAGAGAAGTTCAACTAAAAATAGAACAGAGAAAATAAATAGAAAAGCAAAGGAGTAATAGAGAGACTACAAAACAAAGACAGGAATCCATATAGCAAATGCCCAGGAAGGGTTGCGAGCAGAGAAAAATGGTCAGAGAAAAACGAAAGTGAGAGAAATAACTAAGTTGGAAGGGCTGGACCTTTGTAGGAAAATAAGGGAGAAAGAATTAGAGAATGCATCTTACAGCAGAAGCTGTGTAGGATCTAAAAGGTCTTCATGTTACAGATGTTGAAGTTTCAGAACAGAGAGGATATGAACAGTGAACCCAAGGTCCCCGAGACAGAAATGATAGTAGCAAGAAGTAAATACAGCCTTCATGATGGAGAAGCTGGTTCTCCAATCAGCTGAGTCTTTCTGTAAACAGGTGGAATTTGGTGTCTGAATTTGTTTTTGATGTAAACTCACCGTTTTTTGACCCTCTTCACCTCTCGATCCATCCTTTCCTTTTTTTTTTTCTTTCTCCCCTGAAGGATTATAGAGGGCCATTCCTTTCAAAGTTAGTGGAATGCCAACTTGCTACATAGAATCATCTCCTCCGGGATTGTCCTTGAGAGGGACACCAATAACCGAGCACTGAGTGAAGACATGGCAATGAGAAGAAAATTACTAACATGCCCCACTGGCCTCCTATGTCCAGGCCTTCTTCGAAGCTCTGTTCTTGAAGCTTCTGAATTTAATACTCTTCTCTCTAACCCTCTAAGATCACCGGCCTTTGTTTCTAGAGGAGAAAACTGTCACAGAGAATGGAGAGAATTGAGTTGCTTGGGGGTCGGTTGATTGAATCAGGAACTCAACCTGTCACCAAAGCCTTCTGTTCTTCTGCACTGCCACATATGAGACCTTTTTGGCTCAAGGGGAAGAAAGCAACTTTTGGTAAGGAACGAGCAAGCAGAAACTGAGAGAGCCCAAGAACAGACACTGGGGCTATTTTAAAATTAGAGACTGAGTAGGTCAGACTTCACGGGAGGAAAGCCGCCAGTGGGATGAGATACTGTTCCAAACAGTACTCTGGCTCCTTGTCAGAACAGTCCAGATCAATTTCAAAAATAAATAAATAAGTAGAGATGACGAAGAAGGGCTCTGAGATAGAGAAGATGAGTTATGGATCGGGGAAGATTCTACCCCTTCAAGAAATGGGAAGGAGAGTTGGTGCCAGGTAGTGAGTGAGAGGAGGGGCCAGGAAAAGTGTTTTGTCACTGTTGAAGAATTATAGCTGATTTGTCAGCCCCCCCACATTCATTGGCTGGGGACGGTATTTCATGGTTCTCTATGTAATGGAGCTGTCGGCCTTAGCCTGGATAACACCAAGTCCCTTTGAGTTCTATTCAAAGATGGAGTACCTCTTTCTGACTTAACAGACAAGACCCACCAGAGAAGATTAGATGCTGTTAGTTGCTTTCTTTCTGATCACTTGGAGGATGGGTAGGGTGGAAGGTGAAGGAATAATTACTACCACAAGGGCAACAAAAGGAACAAGGATACTGGCTAATACTTATCCTTGAATAACTTTATTAGAAGTTCATCCCCAAGCAGACAGCTTGTACACCATCTCATCAAATATCATGGATGATTGGCTGAATGGGTGGATGCATGGATGGATGGATGGAGAGACTAATGGAGGATAGATAGATGAGTGAATGAATCACCGAATGAAATAGTTGAATGTTGAATAACTAATAAACCTCCAAAGTGCAGCTTCTAAGTTACTAAGGTAGTCATACTTTCATAATTACTCTTTAGATTTCTATGTTATAGCTTGTGATGACTCCACTCATACAACCATGTAATTTGAGTCCCTTTCGTAAGACTTCTAAGAGAATTTCACAGTGACTTCCTCTTGCATTTTCAGAAGTTTAAATGCAATGACTCCATTATACTCAATATACTCAAAAAGGACCTGTGTGTGTATGTATGTATGTATGAGTGTATAGTATATATATATATATATATATATACCATATATATGTATATATACCATATATGTGTAGATATATACCATATATATATGTAGATGTATACCAGATATATATGTATATATATACCAGATATATTCATATAATCTGCATGGAAGACAGAAAAGTGCAGTGGGTACAGATTCCCATTCCAGCCACTGCTATGTTACTCACTGGTTCTAGGTAAGACACTTCCTCTCTGGGCTGCAGATTCTTCATCAGTGGAAGGGTTGGTTTTAAATGTCTGGCTTTCCTAGGCCCTTTCTGAACTGAGCATATGGGATTTTATGACTCACCACCACATCTCCAATGCATGCATCTAAACCTTTGCATTTCAAGGTGCACATACATGCTGGCTGACAAAACATTTTCACTGGCCTAAATAGAAGTAATCCTGCCTGCCCTCCTAGGATTCAAATCATCTTTCCTGCTCTGTAATCCCCACATACCCATCATATCTTACTTGTAGAGACCATCAGGCTCCAGGCACTTGAAGATGACCGAGTAGATATTGACTTCAGGGACCTCTCCATGGCTTCGACCAGCAGCAACACAAGATGTGCCCAGGCCAGAGAGTAAATCATCAGCAAAACTCAGGAATTCTCCTGGAGGGAGACAAAGAAAAGTGAGCTCCCCAGCCCAGGCCTTGGTGATCTGACATTAATTCCCAGTCCAAACCCATTGAATGACTGCATACCATTATCAGGAGAATCGGGAGATAGGCTATGTGCATATGATCATATAAAATGCTGTTATCGAAATGAACTCCAAGAAATGGAAACAAGAGGTTTTTGTTATTTTGCTTCCCACCCCCCTCTGTGCCTGTTTTTGTTTTCTGTACCTTTTTTCTCATATGTAACTTTATCTGTTTATAGGAAGGTAAAGGGGGAGCACAGAAATAGTGGGACAAAGGGTGAACCAATTCAGCAGTGATACTCACTAGACACTATGTTGAAAATGAACTACACCAATTGTGGGGGAGGGGGTATGGAGGGAAAAAAATGGGAGAAAACGAGGGAAGAGGTAACACTGCTTAAAAAGAAATGTTCTCATTACCTGACTTATATAACTGTACCCCTCTATACATTACCTTTACCATAAAAATAAATAAATAAAAGTTTTAAAACAAATCCCAAGGGCTGGGAAGGTGGCTCAGTGGTAGAGCGCTTGCCTTGCATGCCTGAGGCCCTGGGTTTGATTCCTCAGCACCACATAAGAAAAAAGCCAGAAGTGGCGCTGTGGCTCAAGTGGTAGAGTACTAGCCTTGAGCTGAAGAGCTGAGGGACAGTGCCCAGGCCCAGAGTTCAGGCCCCACGACCAGACCAAAAAAACAAAACAAAACAAATCCCAAGATCTAAAAATGATAGCCAGCCTGAGCAGCAAAGTCTGTGAGACTCTTCTCCAATTAAGCACCCCAAATCCAGAAGTGGACCTGTGGCCCAAGTGGTAGAGCTCTAGCCTTGGGGGAACAAACAAACAAACATATAAAAAAAACAAAAAAACAAACAAACAGGGGCTGGGAAGTTGGCTCAGTGGTAGAGCGCTTCCCTTGCATGCCTGAGGCCCTGAGTTCGATTCCTCAGCACCACATAAGCAAAAAGAAAAAAGCCGGAAGTGGTGCTGTGGCTCAAGTGGTAGAGTGCTAGCCTTGAGCTGAAGAGCTGAGGGACAGTGTCCAGGCCCAGAGTTCAGGCCCACGACTGGACCAAAAAAAAACAAACAAACCAAAAAACCTGAGGGACAGCATCTATGCCCTGACGAATTCAAATTTATGCCAGAATTTTTTCACCTGCAAAGTAGAAATACAACTACCAACCTTTATATAATTATAGCAAGGTTAAAATAAGTTACTGTATAATAAAAATGCATATGACAAGGGAATTACGCTTTTTGTATAAAGTAACAACTTCAACCTTGTTACTGCTATTCTCCCAACTCCTTAAGCAAGATCTTTCTTGGAACTGAATTTTACTTCTTTGTATAAAAAAGAAAAGACTTGGCCTAAGGATAAAAGAAGTTTCATGTCTCATGGCCGCTCTTCTATGCTGTTGGCAGTTTCATGGTGCTGTTGAGATGGACAAGGATCTAGCCCGGGAACCGGGAGGAGTTCTATGTGTGATTAGCAATGAAGGCCACGGACACCGGAAATGACAGTGGATGATGTACCACACATCTGTAATCCCTTAAACTCTCTGATTTCCAAAAAAAGCTAAGTTAGCCCCATTGGATTTTAGAATACAGTTGACATTTGTTAGAAAGAGAACTAGAAAATAAAGAAGAATGAAAGGATCTCATCTAGATGTTAACTAGATAATAACCAGGATTTTAAGCTCTAGTCTCAGCTCTCACAAGTATTTGCTACATGGATTTGATCAACAGAATCCCCATCTGTACGCCTTAGTTTTCAGTTATATGAAGGAAGGTTATTAGAACCATTGTTGGGATTCTTTTAAAGCAATTTAACAAGGAGATATATGCAAAAAATAAGTGTTAAGGACTAACATTATAGTACTGTTTAGATTTAGTAAGGATTTTGAAGTAACTAAATGTTTAGTATTACAAAAATGTCTATTACCAATTGCAGCTCTTTTACAGTGGGATATATTACAATCATTACAAATAATGTATGTAAAAATACAAAGTGAAAAGATATCCATAACATCAGTTAAGTTAAAACAAACAGGTTACAGAGCCAGGTGCTGGTTGCTCATACCTGTAATTCTAGATATTCATTAGGCTGAGATATAGAGGATCATAATTTGAAACCAGTCTTGGCAGAACTGTCTGAAAGATTCCATCTCCAATTAGCCAGCAAAATGCTACGCTAGAGGCTTGGCTCAAATAGAAGCATGTCAGCTATGAGCAACAAAGGTAAGTGAGTGTGAGGTTCCAGGTTCAAATTCTGGTACACACACACACACACACACACACACACACACAAAGTAAAATGGTTACATTACTACAGAATAATGCAATATCATGAAAATATATACATATATAATGTAATATACATATATAAAATATGCATACAAAAATTTGAAAACACAACAAGGAAAATATTTCAAATGCTTCAGAGACATTCTGTCTAGGGAGTGAGGTACTTTTTCTTTCTTATTTTTGCTTATCTCTACTTTTCAAATTAACGTCTATAAACATGTATTGCTTTTGTAGCAAGAGAAAAATCGATTAAAAATACTTAAAAATAGATAAAGCAAATGAGACAGCCTAAATGGCCACTTAGTTTCCTTTCAGTGCTAAAATTGGATGATTTAGGGGCAAATCTCATGTAAGGTATTTTATACCACACAGTATTAAGTGATAAGAGACTCCATCCATTCTTCCTTCTCATCCATCATGCCTACGCTGAGCCCCTCAGACTTGTACTTGTATATAGTTCCTGTAGTAAGCAAGAGGAGGATGTCTGTTAAGTTAGTTCCTCTCTAACTGAGATTAGCTATGAGCCAATGGTAATTGGAATAGCAACGTTGACCAAGTATTTGGGAAAAATGAGAATTAAGAATGGCTTGCACCTGTAATCCTAGTTACTCAGGAGGCTAAGATGTAAGGATAGTACTTCAAAGCCAGCCCAGGCAGGAAAGCCTGTGAGATCCTTAACTTCAACTAATTACAAAAAGAAAATGTAGGAGTTGAGGTGTGGCTCAAGTGGTAGAGCATAGAATGGTACTCTTGAGCAAAGAAGCTTGGCACAGTGCCCAGGACCCAATTTCAAGCTTCAGGACCATTATACAAATATATACACACATGTACATGTACACACACATGCCCACACATATACATGCATGCATACATACACACACACCATAAGGAAAAAGAGAAAGAAAAAGAAAAAAAGGAAATAAGTGAGAATTACAAAAGCCACATGATGCTTCTTTACCAGGAACTATTTGGACACAATATACCCATAATTTTCTACTGGTCTTCAAAGAAAAGTTCTATTTTTAAAGAATCACAGTTAAAAGGAAAAATTGAAAGTGTTTCATTCTTCATCTAGCAAGTGAATCTTTGAATTCCTGTTGACTGATTTCCTGGGTAGCCCTGAGAGTAAGTCTATATTATATTTGTTTTGTAATCTCAAATAGCAGACCTGATGAGTAATGGGTTTCTTTTTCTATTTTTTTTTTCAGAGACAAGCTACAGTTCAGAGACTTGTCATGTAGTTCCTGGACGCACATTAAAGTCATCAACATGCAATTCCAGCTGCTGTCAAAAGAACAGGCATACGATTAATAACCATTTCCACCATTGGTTAAAATTCCTCAAAAGTTTCAATGTCCCTACTGTAGGCTAGAGGTTCATAGCTGTTGGAGTCTAGAAAAAAAAAAGTCTCTAGGAAGAAACCAAGATGTCTAGAACTAGATGTTTTATTGGAAAAGGAAGAAATAACTAAAGCTCATTTTTCTCACAACGTTTGACACCTAATCTTTCACATTAAACTCTTGCATGGTACAATCATAAACCAATTATATCTCCATTTCAATAGGAATCAAAACAGATGAATTATGGAGTGAAAAATTAAAAAGAAAATAAGAAAGAAAAAACATGAGATTGTTCTCTGAAAGGAGTGAGGGTCTTGTTTCACTTAGTTTCTCAGGATTTTAACTCTGGCTGCTTGTATTTGTTTTCTTTGAGTTTGGTTCCGTGTCTGTCTGCTTTTCGAGTTATTTCCAGATAGCCATTGGAAGAGTTGGCTCTTTGTGAGGGAATTCAGTATGCCTGTGGCCAGTATTAATAAACTGTCTTGAAGCCAGAAGATGGCTGACATTCATTTTCAAATGAGCATGGCTTTCCAGATACTTTCCTGAATTTCAGAATAACTTGCACCATGGATAAAACCCCATAAGCCTGTAAGTGAACAGTTCTAAGTTTAGGTTTAGATAAAGTGAAGTTAACCTGGGGTATAACTACTCTTAGCAAGCAAGGGCAATATAAGTATATAGTTAGAAAGTATTCTAGTTAGAATGATGTGCAGATAATGACCTTGAAAAAAAAAGAAAACAGAATTGACAGTTAATACATATTTTCTTTTATTCTATTTAGTCCTCAACCCATTTAGTACAGTTTAGGAAGAGAAAGTGCTGAGACTTGAACCTCTATTCTTCTCAACCCAAACCATCCCTTTTCTTTTGTACTATGCTGCCTCCTAGAGAAAGTCTCAAAGTGAAAGCAGTAGGAAGTGAGCTCTCATAGTGTCATTCAAGTTACAATTGAATTTATGCCACTATCTTAGCTCTATGGGCTTGAAGAATGAGACAATAAAAGAAATGGCCCCTGACTTTCTACGGCTTGTAATCTGACAACAGGAAGGGTTGTTAAATACAAGAACAGCCCCATAAAGTAAATCATGAGATTGCTTTTCTTGGCATGCTACTTCAGAATGTTTAAATGCAGTGTAAATGGAGGCAGGTGAATGAAGTTCCACTTCAATGTCCTTGCTCACCAATGGAGGGGCTCATAAGAAAGGTCTAGGGCTTCTCTATGCACTAATGCAAATCATCACAATTCATCCAGATGTATTGCGGTTCCATAATTTACCATAATTTGCATCTGGCAGCAGTACAATTCAATAAGCAGCAGTAGAGGGCAA